TTGCTATCAACAACGACAAGAACAACTTATGCTCTAATCATGGAAGAGCTTTGCAAAAAGGCTAAAGTTCCTTTGAGTGACCTCAAGGAAAGTAACCTTAGTAAAACCTTCTTTAATTTGCTCCATTGACAGTGCAATGGTGCGGCATCGCGTGCGAATTTAGGAACATCTACACTAAAACTTCAAGATTTTTCTCCCATTTCTCCTGTAACGACATTTATGAGGTTCAAGTCTCCATACATTACAAAATGCGGTACTAAAATCAGCTAAGCATAAGCGGCGGTTTTTTTTTCTTGCCGTGAAATTCCTACCAATGCTTCATATTTGTAGCTAATTGTCTGAAGTTTGTGTAGCGTTACAAGATTTTATGATATGATGGACAGAATGCCTTTTTTTCTCATGAATGCTTGTTGATTGCGAATCATCCATTTACCAGACTTAGTTTTATATGGAAATTGGTCCTTCCTTATCTTCTGTTTTTCAGGCTTCAACATGCCTGCGGAAAACGGTGAACAACATCTCAAGGAAGCTAAGGAAAATCATTTAGAGCAAACCGAAAATGAGGTCCCGAGAGAAAAGAATGAGGTCAGTCACTAACCTTCGTACTTTAAAAAATGATATAAATATTCGTGTAATTTATTTTCGTTGCACTAACTTAGCATAAGTGATGTCATAAGGCTCCATTGGGCATGAAGGAAGGTTGTCACTTTTGACTTCAGTCAAACTAAGACAAGGAAGTCTACGGGACGTTAATAGAGAGGGACGGAGCGGGTGAGGATAATTTGAGTGGGCGAGGTTCTACCTTCGAGAATGAAACTGTCCAAAGATCAGTATATCTTTTAACCAGTTTATGCTTTCTTCCTGCTTCTATCACACACTTAAACTCAGCACTGAAGTTTGAGCGTTGAACAAATTACCTTGAAGACCCAGGTGCATAAAAGTTTAATAACCAAGCTGTTGTTTTAAAGTGGGGTTTCCGATACGAATCGAGCGATTAAGTGACTTCATCCAAGTCCTGCATCTAAAGCTGTTATTCTTGGCTAAACAGTTCTCAGTTAGGTTCAATATGCAAGCCAATAATTCTTTGCAGATAGAGTGGCTCAAAGAAGAGGTGCGCAAGTTCACCACAGTCGTCACGAATCCAAGTGTTCGTCTTCAACTGCAGGCGTATTCATCCCTGTGCAAGGTTATCAAACAACTTGAAAGTCAGTATACATTTTGCTCTAGCAAATGCTTTTTCCACGTGAATTTCTTTGTAGCGCTACCGGAACCATTTATCAAAGGAATCGTGAAGATTGTCACTACCGCTTGTGTTTTCCGTTACTCGCACAAACAAAGCTTCAGGGTAAGTGTATTCCAAGTGATGCAGCGGCAATTTGATTCTTATCTAGGCTGTAGAGAATCTTCTGAATGCCTTAGCCAAACATGAGTCTGGGGTAACGGCGAGGTCGCTGGCGCAGAGTGTCCAAACACTCTTTCCGCTGACCTCGAACATAAGGTATTTGATGTTGTTACTTTTTAATTATACTTCGGCTCCGTTACATTTTTTTCCGTTTCATCAGTTCTCATTTTTGCTAAAGTGAGACTTAATGTTGTTAATATTCTATCATTATTGTGATATGCTTAGAACATCATATATGTCGTGTAATCGTTCAGAAGCAGTTAACTTCATAACCAAATTCAGTGATAGCATTGGGTGCGCTGCGATTCCCCCAGCAAAATGGCTGTTGCAACTTCTTCCACGGGTTCCTGATGCCGTTGTGCCTGAAATTGCAAGTTATTTCAGACATATTCGTTTTATGACATATTTTGGCTACGGATATTTTTTACTGATTTGATAAGCATTTCCTATCATCGTTGGAAAGTTGTTTGGGCTGTATGCAGTTTTTGGAATTGAAATATTTTAACGCCACAAACGTTTGGATTTTTGGTGGGATTTCTTTTAAAATGGAAATGATGCAGATATCTAGTCATTGCCAATTCCGTAGACTTAATGCTTGACCTACTTGATGCTAAAGAATGTCTCTTCCGTAAATAATAATTATTGATGAACTTTCCAGATTTCTGCCTTGGGTAACTTGTCCTTCTATTGCTCTGCTAGCCCGAAAGCTTCTAGAATACTTAAGAAGAAACTACGAATTGCATGTTGCAACAAACTGCAGGTTCAAAGATTGATCCAGGGAATTACTGAAGTCAGTAAGGAAGCTTCTGCAGCAAAGAAGATGACATGTTTGATATCAATTCTATTTACGGTAAGTTCTTCTTTCTACCATTAGTCGCGTGGTTTGCCATTGTTCACTCGTTTATCCTGTCATTTTTCAGGTGTATGATGGCTTAGATCATAACTTGTATCTTGATATTTTTTCCAAATCAGTTTTGTTTCCAAAAACTCGAGCAGAGCAATTTGTTATCGTAAGTCTCTTTCACATCCATAATTTTTAACATATACGTGAATATTCTTTCTACATGTTGCGTTTTTTTAGGACAACTGTAATGAAGCACTTAGTCAAGTTGCTGAATCAACGTTTTGCGATTCGCTATTACCAAATATCAAAAAGTCATTGCTCAGGAGTCCGGAAGTCGCTGTTTTTGGTGGGTTAACGCATCACCAATTTTTTCGCTCCTTGTTCGCCCTTATTTATCTCTCAATATTCTCCTATTTACATTGCTCAGTTCTAATTTGTTAAATTTTTGGTAATATTCCACTTTGAACAAAAAATTAGAGATCTGAATTCTACCGAACTCCGTTTAAGGAGTTTATCCGACATCTCTATCACAAATATCATATCCTGCACTGCACGATAGCCTTACTGCAGGTAGATGTAGGCATTAAAATCATGGATGCCTGAAGTTTCTTAGTGAGGTATTTTGACATCATGATTTCCAAGATCATATCCTGGCTGCACGACACGGGCGTACTGTAAAATCACGGTGGGTGGACGGTAGGGAGTCAAAAACATAGTATTTCCTGAGAAGTGGTAATGGGGCTATTTGACCCAGTGATTACGAAAATCGCATTTATCTTAAACGATAGCATTCTCTAGTAGAGATACGGTTCGTAGGAGGTCGTAATCCGGATTCTTCGGAAAGTTCACCTATTGTGACCAATCGTAATGCAAGTCACGAATAGTTCTAATAGGTAACTGGTGCTTATTCCGATCGCCAGGCTATAGAATTAGTGTAGGATTGTGGTGAAAAGCAAGTCTCATATATTAACCTGAGCACTTGATCAGAGTACTAAAATTCTACCTCGCTATCTGACCTGATACTTTGGTATAAAATGATATACCCTTGTCTCTATGGTCAACTTTAATAATCCCACTGAATCACTTCGTGGCTGAATCTCTAGCTGGTACCGCCGCTAGAATCCTACTGTAAGGATGTCAAATAAGCTCCTTGAGAAGCTCAGAACATGATTTTCACTCTCTGCACTACATTTACCTAATCGACGAAGGTCCT